GGGCGGAGAGACCAGCGCCGCACCAGCGGCCCGGGCGACAGAAGCGCAGGTGTCCCAGCGCCGTGGGACAGAGTTGGGACAGTCGTGATTGCCGTAAGCCCAGCACCCATCCCGGCGCTGAAACCCTCCTGGTCTGAGTGGTCCTCGAAGCGCTGGGCCCTGCCGAGCTGTGGGAGTTACCTTGGTACCTGCCCGTGCCAAGGCAGCTCCCACTGCGGTCCTCAGCGGCTGTCCTGCTGCTAGCCGTGAGGATCACCCACCCGTGGTGCGCTGGAAATGACCCCTGCTGCGGCCGGGGGTGGCTAAGAATGCATCTGTGCGCCAGGAGAGCTGTGTCCTGTGAAAGGAGAGAGCAGAGCGCGAGGATGGAAACGAGCAGAGCGAACGCACGATGTTCCCGGTGTTCAGCTAACCCCTCTGGTCATTTGCAGGTCGGTCTCCCCTGACCGTATGTAGTTGTGTTTATTTACTATTTTCAGGGTTCAGTTTTATCCTCGTCTTAGGAAACTTTTAACATTGGAAATGCATCCTTTGGCAAATTGCTTTGTGGCTCAATGTTATCTGAAGAACAGCTTCCTTTTGTTGTTTCAAACCCAAGCCCCTCCGAACTTAATTTTATGTCTCCCAAATTACTGATTTTTTTTTTCCTAGCAAGAAAGTGTTGTGATTATGTATCAAATAAGATAGTAGAAAAGGTACACGAGGGAGGGAACCAAAATAGATTAATATGTGGTGTACAATACTTCATTGGAAATACGAGTACTTAAAACTATGTTCAAAACTTTTGGAGATAGGAAGTGTTACATATCTATTACAAAACTGTTTATTTTTTTCCCCAGAAAAACTTGGATGTTATTGACAGTTGCATGCAGCCATTCTGTTTTTTCATTCAGATGCCTGTTTTTAAGTTCAGTCTTTCATGATTATACTGTAAAAAGACAAGTGGGGGTTTTTTCCTTACAGTTTGACCTGTAAAAGAAAATATTTTGAAAATTTTTTTTTTGTAACTCCTTTAGGGAAGTGGAGAACTTCATCAGTGGAAACAGCTGCATTAACAGATTTATCATTTACATTTAATGACCCAAAGTTGCAAGGAGGAATAGATGTCAGTTCCGTTGCATACAGTTTGTGTTTACTAGTTAGAAATACAAAATTGAGATATGTTTCTTACTGAACAGTCAAAAATTCTTTTGCTTTAAAATGTGTGCAAATGTCTATAAGAGGTGACTTCTGAATTTTGAGGTTCATTTGTAAAGGAAGGTGCACTGTAGTAATGCTTTCTTGTACTTCATTAAACTGGAGAACCAATTTAATTTGGTTTCTGGGCAATTAAGACTGTAGTTTCACATACACATCAAACTGTTATTACCTATCACTACTGCCAAAAGTAACAACCCACCAAAAAAAAAGTTACTATTTATCTGGGTAAGTTCCTTAGCTTGATTCACTGTGTGTGGCCTTACAGTTAAGCTGGCGCTGCTAAGTGGTGGGAGATTAAGTGGACTGGCTGGTTTACACTGCTAAAGCTCTGCTTCTGCTAAAAAATTATGTGAAAGTGCAGCTTTATTTTCCAAGACTGCTCAGTCCATATCCTGTTATGCTGCAGTTTCCAGCAAAATAATAGCTATCAAATACTTACAGCATCCCTTGTCTTAAAGTTTTCAAGGCACTTTAGAAAGAAATACAAGTCTCTCAGATTTGCACCTAAAGAAATCAGAGCACAAGCTGATTTCCACACCCCCCCCCCCCCTTAGGGGGGGACTCTAGGTCTCCTGATTCGTGGTTTAAGTGTCCTGTTAATTTAACCTTGATTTCTCTTAGAGGTGTTACATTTGTTTATCTCAGCTACCTGTGGTGTGACCATAAAGTGGATGTTCAAATACCAGATGAAATTACAGTAAAATACATAGGTGCAAAACCCGTTTTCTCCTGAATTCCAGGCCTTTGGAACTTGTTAAAAGGAGTAACTCATATACGGACTTTTTTTTCTTCTCTCATTGGTGTATGTGTGACACAAGATCAATACCAACTGTGTTATTTAGATTGCCCTGCTAATGGTGAACAGTCGTTACTCCTAATTTTGGCTGAATTAGAACAAGTAATCTGGATTACTAAAATTCTAATATATTTAGCCATGTTGTCCTATGTTTTAGGATGAGTTTATGCCAGAGGTTTCACTTTTCTGGAGGTGATGATTCGTTCAAGTGTTATTAACCTATGTCCTTGTACTTGGGTATCCAACATGTGTCTTTTGAAGCAGGTCTCTTGGAAAGAAAAGGAACGTCCGTAGCAAAACTAGTAAAATGGTCTAAATATAGTTACTACATTTTCTTTGGAAAAAAGTATCTTTGACGAAGATATTTAATGTGGTCTTAAATATGGTGTGTTTTGAAAATGATTTTGAAAGAGGCCAAAATTAGATCACATTTTGATTGCTGTCATGCCGAATGTCATTACGCTGAATCTAGATTTTTTAATACTTTGAGCAAAACTTCACTATTTATTATTAAAATTCACTTAAATGTCTGATGATCTTTTCCTTATTCAGTGAGCACTGAAGAATTGTATGCTACCAGACTGCAGGAAAAAGCTTTACTGTAACTGCTAAATTACATTTATTTAAGGTTTCAAACCTATCACAGGGCAAAGAAAACTTGTGAGTGCAGTTATAGCACATAAGATTTAGATAGTTTCATTAGAGAAATGATATTAGTTCTTAAGTGGTTCTCCAAGGACAATGGGGTTAAGTATGTCCCCTGTGTTTCTTTTTGCAGTCCTTATTTATGTATTGCTTCAAGCTTTCAGGTTTTATTCATATATGGGTCTCGTGTATGTAATTAATGTAATTTGCATGAGTATTACAGGGTTCTTTTTCCTGTTAACTTCTTGTCATGTTCTTCCTCAGTCACTGAATCATTAATTCATTTATGGCAGTGCAAGTATTGTAGAAGTGAAACCTGGATGAAGGAGGAGTGAGTTTTGTGTAGACTGTGTAAACCTTGGACACCTGTTAATTCACGTCTAGTATGAGAAACACTTACCTACACACTACTTCTATAAGAGACAAAAGATGCTTGCAGACATCTGAATCCTCATAATCCTTCAGAAAGCTGGGAATGCAACGGCTGTGTAACTTATTCAGTGTTTCACCTTAGTTGCTCTATCCTTTGGCATACCAGTTACAGTGTTACTAGTGCACAACGCAGATGCAGAGATTTGAGTTCTCTGCAGGCACAGGGTTCTTTCCCTGATGAGTCAGCGCCTTCAAAATGCAAATGGTTTTTATTTGTTTTTGGCAGAAAGTTCTATTTCCCTTACCAAATGTCACAGCTATGCTTTCAGTGAATTTGATGCTTGAGTTGTTTAACAATTTTACAGGAAAAAAGTTTTATTACATTTTCTATGTTTTCTTTTCCCCCCTGCTCTCATCTTCACTTACATAAGATAAGTTTTAAAATAACTATTGGCAAAGACAGGTTCGAGGAGACTTGAGCTGAGAGACTGTCACAGACTGCCGTACAAAACTGAACCCTTAAACAGGTTTAAATGGCAGATGGTCTAAGAAATTATAAAGTTGTGTGCAATGACCTAGGCAAATGTTTACTTTTTAAATATGTGACTGCTAAAGAATGCATAAAATCATGGTAATCGTATGCTCTTACTGGTGTGCTTTGTACTTCTTACTTCCATCTATTTGTGGAGCTTTATGTCGGCTGGGGTGTTTGGCCCATATCCTGGCTAACTGGGTAGTAGAGTTGGCACCTTGAGCTATAAAAGTGTTGATGGAAAGAACATGGTGATGAGCGGAGACAGCACCTGGCAGAGAGGGAAGGCAAAGAAGCAGTGGTGGGGCAGTGCACGCAGCGGTTCATATCTGCTCTTGAAAGCTTTGTCCACCACACTGAGTTCTTTACTCTGCCCGTATCCTTTGCAAACTGTTTGGACTTGAGGCACCTAAACTACCTTTTTGTTAACGGGCTGTTGGAAGCCCAGCACAGTTTGTAATTTAGGTTGAGTAAAGACTGCCTGAAGAAATTGCTTAGCGCACCTTTAACAGCTGTGATGGCAGTGCTGCACGTGAACATTTCACTGCCACCAATGCCACGTTGTGAACTTTTTCACTGCTGTATGTATAATGGGATTTTTTGTTTGTTTTGATAACAGGAGAGCAGTTTTGGGTTGTGACAAACCCCAGCACTACAGGAACCATGGTTTCACAGTGAAGGGCCACTGCTTCCACAAGTTCTGAAACTACCAGCCAGTCTTCCCTGAACTTTGGTGTATGCGAGTCCTTGGTGGAGGTTGCATATATACATGTTTTCATGAAGAGAAGCGAGAAGCCAGAAGGTTATAGACAAATGAGGCCTAAGACTTTTCCTGCCAGTAACTATACTGGCAGCAGCCAGCAGATGCTACAGGAAATACGAGAGAGCCTCAGGAATTTACCTAAACCCTCAGATGCTGCTAAAGTTGAGCACAGCATGGGCAAAATGTTATCTGAAGATCCTAGACAAGGCCGAAATCCCCCCAAATTTGTAACATACCATAAAGTTTTACAGGAGATAAGAAACTCACTTCTACCTTTTGCAAACGAAACAACCTCAGCTGTCAAAGGAACATCAGAAGTTAATCGACAAATGCTGCAAGACTTGCAAGCTGCTGGCTTTGATGAGGTGAAATGTTTTATTTTCAAGGTTTGGTGTTCTGCTAACTATAAACTATTAGGACATGTCGGAGGGGGTGTTGATCATGGAATGTTTGAACAGCATATGATAAGCAAAATAGCATCTTCAAAATCTGGTAGGTTTCTAATTAGGATGGAGTGAAACTGGTAGTAATGGGGGATGAAGAAGAGGAGTAGAAGGACTTAGGCTTGGGTTGTTGTGGTTCTTTTTTCTTGTTTTTTAAACATCTTGTTCAGTTTGTTCTTTGTGGTAGAGGTAGGTTGTTTTATTTATATCATTCTAGGTGGAGAGAACTGGACTCTTTAGAACATGGATTTTGCCTTTGATACTCAACAGAATTTTGGATTGTGCTTTGTTAAAATATGTTAATAACATGGCTATTCTAAATTGAAAGGCAGTACCAAATATTTCAGAAATTAATTTTAATGAGCTTTTTGAGATCTGTGGCTTATAGAAGCTCAAACTTTGTGGAGAAAGGGATTTGGCCATCCTTCCTTTATGCACATTGTCAGATACAGATAAAATAACAAGGTACATGACAAAACCAGTTGCGAAGTGTCTTCTCTGTGGTATACTCGCAATACAAAAATGTCGAGTCTCTTGAAAATCTTGGACATAAGTAATTGTTCTGCTGCTATTTTCAGTATAAGAACAGGGAACTAAATAATTGTTCGGTGGGTTTTTTTTTAAAGTATTGACTAAATTTATTTCCATTCATTCATTTTAATAAATGAAAGGAATCTGAAAAGTGATTTCCAGGAATAAAAAATTAATACACTCACAGCTCCTGTATTTTTGCTGGAACCTGCACATCAAAGCAAATCTGAAATTCATGCCTTCTCTGTAAACCTGAGTACAAAAGCAGGGTTTTTTTTTTAAAAAAAAAAAACACCTAGCAAACCACTCCTCTTTCCAAAGGAAAAAGCCACAGTACCACAACAGGGATTGCCTTTACAGGAGCGCACTGCTTGTGGTAGGAGCCAGCTCAAGTGTTCCACTGGCTGTGATGCTTTGGTATTTACAGAGAGATCTACCTCTACCAAGAGCAAGCTTCTCCAGAACTGTCAACTGGCTTTTCCTCAACCACGTCCCTGTGTCAAGTGCTGGTAGTGGTTTTTCATGTTCCTTTCACTTGCTGAGTTACGTAGTCCAGGCTGTGTTTTCAGTAAGAATAGAAGGATTTTATAATGATAAATGATTTTGTAATAATTTTTTCCTCCTGTGTGGTTTGTTACTGAGGTTGGGTTTGGTTTTTGGTTTGGGCAGGGTGGGTGGGTTGTTTTTGTGTTTGTTTTTTTTTCTTTTTTAAAGTAGGTCAGTTCTCAGATACATTTTTACGGATTAAACCTGCAGTCGTTTTTGCAAACTGAAGAATGGTATGTGGCTGGATAATAAACTAGAAGGTTATCTTACGTTGGTATTTTTGTTGGATCCTTTGTATCTTGAAGCCTTTTGCTCCTACCCTTTGTTCTTGGATACAACTGATAATTCCCAGGTCACTTGTGCTTATATGGACCTTTTTTCAGGCACAGTGCCACCATAAGCTGTTTCTGCTGTGTGTTAACCCACAGTTGTGTGCCACGGTAGTCCATATGGCACTGGCCCGTGAACAACACTGAGGACAGGTACAGCTGAAGTACGAAAGCATTTTTCTTGCTGGGGGTATTTGAGACAGCCAGTAGGAATGAAAAGAGAATGGATTTTGAGCTGGGATTGTTTTATGGTTTTATGGACTGGATTGTAGCTGGAGTCTGTTGGCCAGCTGTAATCAGCTGATTTATACTTTTTTTTTTATATATATATATATGTATGGAGTGTCACAAATGTTCTGGTTATTCCTCCCCCTCCCTCAAGTAGTAGGTAGTATTCAGGATTAAAGCTGAACCGATAGATAGATACCTATCAGTATCGGGTGTGTGTGTATATGTATATATATTTTGTGTGTATGTAGGTAGTAATATATATGTGCATAGAAGTTATGGGAGAATAAAGTTCATTGTGTTTTGTTTGGTTTTGTTTTTAAAAAACCACTCTAAATAGCTTGCAGAAAATCTGTCTTGCTTATTAGGATTCAAGTGCAGTCCTCATATGTTCTGTATAAGCTGATGTTCTTCAAGAATTGAATACTTCATGGCACATAGGTGACCAAGGTTTTTGTTCTTCAGCTAGACGGGAGAGAGATCCTTTGGCTCTTGTTCAGGTCCTCTGCTTAGTGGAAAGGGAACTAAATTGTGTCTCTTAAAATATTGCAGGTTCTGTACTTTGAAATTCTATATTTCTTATGGCTTGGTGATGTGAACTTGTAGGTTTAGGTTTCTATATTGTAGAATTACTTGGCTAAAAAGACCATAAATTTGGATTTGAAACTGATAAAGGAGAGAATTAAAGCTGATAGGTAGAAATGAATGATGGGTCTTATAAAAGTATATTCAAATTGGAAATTAAATACTCTGGACAACTTAACTCTGTGTTTGCACAATGATCGAGTAACATACTGGTGCGGGAAATGTACTTTTCTGCAACAGGTCAGTCTTACCTGTAATAGTAGAAGTGTTGGGGACATAACTGCCTTGAGAAGGAGCTATGAGTTCAAAAGTCATATCTGCTTTTCCAACAATGTCAGCTGGTTTGTAAACATTGTAACAACTTATTACATGTATTTTTTTTAATTTTAAAATCCTTTTTTAAGGTTCTGCTTTGTTCAGTGAATTTGATTATTGTTTCTGAAGGCTGTATGTAATTTTATATGTTTGTAGTGTTAAAAATGTACACAGGCATGGTGAAAGTATAAACGTGTGTTTGAATTTGAAGTTGATACTGACTACTTCCCTTCCGAGCCCTCTTTGATTTCCCATTGATTTTAGTAGGAGGTGAATGCTGTCATATGTAGGTAACCTGTTCAAACACAATGTGAACTAAAATGATAGCTTCAATATGACAAAGTATGGCCATAAAAAAATCACTGAAGACAGTGTGCTTCGTTATAGGGAGTTATGCTGTGGATTTGTTTCAGACTGAGTCAGCTGCAGGAATCCCGTGCAATACAAGTGGGAGAGCAGGGCCTGACTTTTAACCATCTCTGAAATTCTGCCTCTGTTGCTTGACCTTGATCTTATTCAAGTCAGTGGAAAAATCGCTGGTCCATAATACGTTTTCCATTGACAGGACTGGGATTGGCCATGAGATTAAAACTGGTGTTTGGATCCCTAAGAAGACAGGGCCTAAATCTACCACAAAAATAATAGATTTTCTGCCGATAACGTTGTTTTCATCAGGAAGAATTCTTAGGGAGAAACCGATGGATATTTGTTGCCAAAAAGTCATGCTGAATTGGAGGAAAATAAGCAAATAGCAACGTTCTGAATTTCACATTAGTGTATCTTTCATATAATAACTTAGCTTGGAAGGGACCTCTGGTCATCATGTAACTAGCTATTACCTGGGTAGTGTGTATCAGTGTGTATAAGCAAACTGTACAAAGAGCAAAGTGACATGATTTACATCAAAACTTCAGTGCTTCAACAAGTTAACTTTTTCCTGAAGATCCAGACTGTATTGGTGTTTTGGAGGATGTGTTGTGGAGAAAAAGTTTTAAAATTAGTTTTAAATCGATGGAGAGAAATCAATTATGTGCTTTACTTTCTGGAATTATATATATAAATATAAAAAATTACTGGAGGATATTTTGGAAAATAACCATGATTTTTGGTGGTTTTGCCATTTATTGTAATTTATTTTTTTTTCTATAATTTTGTCTTTAGGATATGGTTATACAAGCTCTTAGACAAACTAACAACCGTAGTATAGAAGCTGCCATTGAATTTATAAGTAAAATGAGCTACCAGGATCCTCGTCGGGAGCAGATGGTTGCAGCAGCAGCAAGACCTCTAAACACAGGTATGAAACCACCAGGTAGGTGTGTTCATGGTAACTCAGTAACTCACTGAGCGTATTCTTATAGCCGAAAAATACAAGCGGGCAAATTCCTCCTTCATATGCTCACAATGGAACAGAGGAGATGTTGAGATACAGTTTTTTGCTTTTAGAAATAGCGTGTGAAATATATAATGTAATTCTTCCGAAAGATGGGTGCATTTGACATGAATTTCTTAAACATTTCTTTTTATAACTGCATGATTTTAGTATTGTATGTAAGTGTTTTATACAAGGAATGGCATTCAGGTCTCATTTTAGTAGTTTTTGTCCCTCATTGATGTGATGCCAATATTTTGTTCTTAGTGTCAAGTGCTGTGTAGAAGCACTGAATTCTTAATTTTTTGTCTCTCTCTTCACACACTCGCCCACACAGCAGTACTACGTATGTATATTTTTGTGTATCTGTATTATTTGTGTGTGTATATATTTGTATACTATACAGCTACAATATTTGTATTTTAGGATGTCCTGTTTCCAGATTCCCCTCTCTGCTTAATTTTCTGCTTGGTTCCAGATTTTGTTTGTGTGGTTTTTAAGGCAGACTTCATGTTTTTACAGAAGTTAGGGGACAGACTAGGGCGTTAGTAGCAACAGAGTCAGAATTTTGCTACTTATTATTGCTCTCTTAACACATGCAAGCACGTTTTTAATAGATCCTGATGCAGCAGAAATTCTGAACTTCTGTTTGACCGAAGTTGTGCTGAGCTGCTCGCTCTGTAAAGTTACATTTTAAGTCGACCATATAGGTATGAAGAAAAACTAGTAGTCAAGAGTAGCAAGCTACTGCAATATTTTTTACTCTGTGAAGCAGGATTAGTCGGTGCTTGTATGCAGCTGCTAGCTAAACGCCACCATTTAGCCATGTTTGTTACTTGCAAAGGTACAGTAAATAACACATCCTTTTACTGGCGATACAGTGACTTTTAGTGGTTACAGAACTGTATGTGTTTACAGATATCGCAGTAGTAACATTGTAAAAAGCACAGTAAGACTGCATGCACTATCGATTCCTTGCGTATTACTTTGTTTATATGATGCGGAATAACATCTGAAAAGTAAATATATTGTAGGGTTTGGTTCTGTAAGTTTTGCTTTCATATAGTTTTAATTCTTGCCTCTATACAACACTTTTACCCAGGAAGACATAACTTTTAAAATTAAAATACTTAATCAAATTTCACGTAACGATTTTGGATGAACTGTATGCATACAAGAGTGTAAGCGAGCTGTTTGATTTTTACAGCATTCGGTTAAATTTCAGTTTAAGAACATTTCACTTGCAATAAGTGTTAAACTGGAATAAATAGCGACATGACTAAACCTATTTTTCCATGCTATTGCTTTTTTGCGCTTGTACCGAACATCCCTTCTGAGAGTTGCTTGTATGCATGATTAAAAATACATAGCACGCCTGATAATTTTGCATATTACCATTTTTTTCCAATTAACAATTGAGCGTATCTGGAAAGGAAGCAAAATGCACCTTCAGAAAAGTGATTTCTAAAAACTCTGGTACTATGGTTTCATTGCATTTTGTTACTCTTACACTGTGTACTGAGCATATTACCATAGCATGCTGTGTATTACTAGATAGAGGTAAATTTTTCATGTGACGTACAGTGGATTACCCTGTGTCAGAGAATTCCCATCCTGTTTTGGTAGTAATTAATGCAGAAGAATAAAATATTCAAAGCAGGAAATAGAAATAATTTCTAATAATATAAATGCTGTGTTTTCTTCTTGTAAAAGCAGGGACTGTACAGCAGTCGGTTAACCGCAAGCAGAGCTGGAAGGGTTCTAAGGAGTCCTTGGTTCCTCAGCGGCATGGCCCTTCCCTGGGAGATGGCGTAGTTTATCGCTCAGAAAGTCCCAGCTCGCAGCCTGATGTAGGAAGGCCGTTATCTGGATCTGGCATTGCAGCATTTGCTCAGGCTCATCCTGGCAATGGACAAAGAGTAAATCCCCCGCCTCTACCACAGATAAGGAGTGTCACTCCTCCTCCTCCGCCTCCTCGAGGACAGACACCCCCTCCAAGGGGAACTACCCCTCCACCTCCTTCCTGGGAACCAAACTCTCAAACAAAGCGTTACTCTGGAAACATGGAATATGTGATCTCCCGTATTTCTCCAGTGCCACCAGGAGCGTGGCAGGATGGTTATCCACCTCCTCCTATGAATCCTCCACCCATAAGTTCTTCCACGCAGGGTCAGAGAGGCATGAGTGCTGTCCCCATTGGCAGGCAACCAATAATCATGCAGAGTTCTGCCAACAGCAAATTCAGTTTTCCCTCAGGAAGAGCTGGAATACAAAACGGCAATTGTCAGGCGGAATTCATAGTTCACCAGAATGTGGTGCCTGGGAACTCGGTGAGTCGCCAGCCCCCTCCATACCCCATGAATCCAACTAACAGGCAAAGTCCCACAGCACTACAGATGCAGGCGGGAGGATCTGCTCCTCCTTCAGCGTACACCAATGGGAACCTTCCTCAGGCAATGATGGTGCCAAACAGAAATAGTCACAACATGGAACTTTATAATACAACGGTAGCTGGAATACCTGCGTCCTGGTCACAGCCTTCCCCCGTGCCACCGCAGTCATCCCCTGGCAATGGGCATGACCTGCCTACATGGCAACCCAATGTTCCCGTACGGTCAAATTCTTTCAACAACCATCATGGAAACAGGCAGAGTCACTCTAGCGGCTCTCAGCCTTCGGCCACAACAGTGACAGCTATAACGCCAGCTCCCATTCAGCAACCGGTAAAAAGTATGCGTGTGTTGAAACCAGAGCTACAGACTGCCTTAGCGCCCACTCACCCTTCCTGGATGCCACAGCCAGTGCAAACCGTTCAGACCATTCCCTTCTCCGAGAGTCCGTCTACGAATATGGCAGTTATGTCTCCTGTTGTAGAGGCTCCGAATTACCAGGGTCCCCCACCACCTTACCCAAAACACTTGTTACATCAGAATCCCTCTGTCAATCTGTACGAGACAGGACCCAAGCTCAACAAGGAGGAACTGCCTATTTTATCCAAGGAGGATGAGAATGAAAAGAATTATGAATGTGTTGATTCAACAGATAAAGAAAAGAAACAGATTACAACATCACCCGTTCCCGTTAGAAAAAACAAGAAAGATGAAGAAAGAAGAGAGTCTCGCATTCAAAGCTATTCCCCTCAAGCCTTTAAATTCTTCATGGAGCAGCACGTGGAGAATATACTGAAGTCACATCAGCAGCGTTTGCATCGGAAAAAACAACTAGAGAATGAAATGATGCGGGTAAACTCTTTCTCCTTTCTAAATCTACAATGTATTAATTTTGAGAAAAATGTCTTGATTGGAGAACGTTTAAATAGTACAGATAAACAGAACGTTATGGTATATCATGGTATTGAGTCTGTTTTTAGTTTTGGTGTTTGAGATGTGGTAAGTCCTTCATTGCTTTGTTTATGTACTTCATTGTTGTCTTGGAAGTTAATTGTTTAAAGTAAGATTTTTGCATGTCTAAATGTAGTTCATCTGGCTTATGGTAAGGCAGGATAAGCAAAATCATTGTTACGTGAACTGAGATTTAACTATGTGGCTCAGCTTTTTGTTGTCGATTCTATTTAATCCTGATTTTTGAGAGCGTTATATGCAATATTTTAATGACACTTAAAATATTTTTATTTTTTTAAAACACTACAGGTACAAACAAAGCAGGGGCAAGTGGTAGGCTGGTTAATACATTTATATAGTCACCTGAACAGTGATACCTTTTTATGTTCTGCAGTTTGTTTCCAGTAGTGATAGGGTTTTCTAAGTTCAAATCAAAAAAATCAATATTTAAATGTTAGACTGGTAGAATGAGAGACATGGTACCTTTTGCCCAAGTATTTTATAATCCAGGCTGTAAGGGTATCTGTTTAAACAAGGGGTAGTCGAATGGGGTAATAAAAACCAGACGTCAACAAAACCATGTAAAACCAACTTCTTTGTGCCTACATGAAGTCAGTCTGGGATTTCACTGTTCAACTAAACCATATCAAAAGGGTAAAAACTGGAGGTGTATACATATGTTATTTCAAAAAAGAAAATAGTGAGAAGTAGTGAAAAAAAAGATTTGCAGAAATGGAAATTTGAGATGTATTGCTTATATATATTTCTTAACGATTGCAGTTGAAAATTTGACGTGTGATGTGCCTTTTAGTTTATTCTATGAAAGAATGTATTTGGCTTCTGCCACTTTCTTGAAGTGCTGTTTTTTAAATCCATGTTTTCTTACGCTTTGAAAATTCTTACTGTAAGCTGTAGTGTTTTGTAAGTGTTTGCTTAATCACGAATATGTAAATGTTAGCAAGATTTTTTCCTGGAATTCTTTCTAGATCTTTATTCTTAGTCTTCTCTCTTTCCTTTTCACTTCCACTAACAGCTGATTTAAACTGTTAAGGTGTGGGAAGCTTTCCTGAACTCTGTAGCCTCCATCCCTGTGTAGACAAGTAAGATTTTGGAGCAACAGTATTTATTAAGAATAGCATGATCCTTTTTAGAGGGCTTTGCATGCAATCCTGCATCGAAATTAAGCATGAATTTATTTTGACCATTTCTGAGTACTTAAATGTAAGGTTATAGTTAATACTGATTTGCAAATGTCACTTTCCCTTCTTACTGTGTTGTGTTCCATGGTATTGCAAGCATTAAGTATTACTTATATGAAAGCACTGATGTAACTTTTCTTGATATTTTTCTTGTGCATTTAAAGCACCCTAGTAAATGTCTTGTCCTATATGAAATGCAATTTCTAATATTTAGACTGGATTTAAAGCTGGGATGTTTAATTACAGGCTGAAGTGTGGAAAATAGGGTATTATGCGGCAGCAGACCTCTGCTTTTTCATCAGAGTATAGGAGAGGAATCCCACAATAGTGAAGTATATTTTGTGTCTTCATGAGGAGGAGAAAGAGAAACTAGCTCATTACTTGTTTTCAGGAAGTTCAAGAGTATTAAACAAGTATTGAATCCCTTATTTTTTTCCCCCTTTGGTAGGAATTTTGAAAGGGAAAAAAAAAAATCTGAATGCATCTCTACAGAAATACCTACCTTCACAGGATGATGTATGTCTAGCATAGGTGACATATTTTTATGCTGTCAGCTTTCCTAGGGAATAGAGTGAAGCTGTAGCTGTCTTCAAAATATTTAGTTTAGATGTGTGAGTTTGGCTGAGAACTATGCTAGGTGTCTTTGCTGCAAAGAGAAACTTAAGTCATGATTTAAGGCACAGCAAGATGAGAAGGGAGCAAAATGAGAGCGAATTGTGTGATAATCATAGAGCAATTCGGGAAGCTCTCGTGTTTTGTCATTGACTAGAAATAATTGGAGGTGTGTGTGCATGAGCGTTTGTGCAGCTGACAAAGTTGGTTAATTTTTGGTAAATGCTGTAGCTGAGGAGACTTCTAGGGAAAATACAGCAATGCAGAGAGCAATCAGTTTGAGACTAACATTTGTTTTAGTGGATGGCATAGGAAAAAGTGAAGATGGGTTGAGGGGAGAGGTGACAAATTGTGGGACATGGGCTGTTCTTTACAACAAAACTGTTAGGATGCAACAGCTAGAAAGCGGGTACTAGAAGGTAAAGGTACAAGGTTTTTGGAGACTCTTAATTGTGTGTCTTGCAGTGATTAATCACTGCATTTGGTCTCACCTCTTCTAGGGTTTTGTTGACATCTAGATTATATTCTTTGCCAGTTTTCTAACTGATCAGTGGAGTCCAGTTTGTGTGCAAGTGGGGCTGTACTGAAGCAGACTTCATGGTTCAGATGGGACTTGAGAAGGTGGCCCACTCTTGTCTGAACTTAACAGGGTCAGGTCTTCAAATGTTGTGTTGACATTTGTAAGTCTTCAAAAAATCCCTCCTTCTGTATTGAAGTGTGCCCTAAGCATGTTCATTCACAGAAAACTTGAGTTGTTTGTGTCATGGAAGACAGTGCCTGGGTATTCCTGCAGTAGTGTGTTGATTCAGAGTAGGGAGCTGAACCTATTTCTCACATCCAGCCTTGAAACTACTGCTACCCAGTCCTAACTACTGCCTGTCTGATGTCGACAAAAAGTTTTGTCTTCAATTTGAGACAGCCTTCCCCATTTAAATCTTAATGAATTGATACTCCTTGTGAAGTTTATTTGGGTAGACAAGCATTTTGTATGCGTTTTCCTAATTGCATTTCCTTTGGGTTCATTTTTGTCATGATGCCTGTAAGAAATTTTCTGTGTTCTAACAGTATTTTCTTTAATAGGTGACATACAGTGTCGTGAAAGCATTTTTAAGATGCTGAATGATGCCTAATTGATCTTTTATCTCGCCTTTTTTCTCAGTCATGTCTATTATATTTTGTTTCAAGTTATATTGCAAGTTAGGCAAAGTAGAAGTCATCTATTAACGTGCAATGTATATAGGCCTAGGCTAGTGGTTAGCTAACCCTGATGATGGTCCTGAGTACTGTTATGCAGGCAGTATCTTTAACATTTGAAATATTAAGGAGATGGAAGCAGCAAGATTTAGTATCAAGAATTGATAAGATGTGACAATAAGAAATTGGAAACTTCTAGAATAGTGCTTGAGTGATGTTTGCAGGGATTCAGTTTGGCCATGTTCAATTTGATGATCAGAATGTCCAGGAAGAAAATAAGGGAGTGTACTGTAGGTTGAACTTGGAAATCATTGCTGTAGGATGGTGATTTCAAGCCAGGTAGGCAAATAAGATAATTGAGATGCTATGAAAAAGGGAGCAGATCTTGAAAATGCTGTCAGAAAATGAAGGAATGAACATCAAGCTGTATGGGGGTAGTGTCACAGAGAAAAGACTATTAAAAAATTGAAGAAAGAGTCTCCTTACATCAAAACAACATACAGAAAAAAAAAAAAAAAAAAAGATATTCTGCTTCCAGGGCCTGAAATTTGCCAAGAAGAATGGCACTGGAATTGAATGGCCCTTTAAAGGAATTGAAGCCAGCAAAAATATACTAGGAGGATCCCAGGTTGGGATATGACAAGAATGCTCAGCGTGGTTCTTGTAGATAAGGGTTTCCACACTGTAGGTGATGAGTTACTGTGGCCTGTGAGTGTTTCAGCTGTCAGAATGTTAGTGGTGTTGGCCAGAATACCAGGGATGTTTGTTCAAGATAAGGGTATGTACACAGATGGAAGCCAAGAACTGATACCATGAGGAGGAGTGAGCCACTTCAAAGAAATTGCTCTGCTCAACTGGTTGGTGTGTAGAGTGGAGAGAGTGTGACTGGAGTCATGTTAGTGAGGTGGGTTATGTGATAAGAGGGAAGATCAGGTCTTGGCTTGTGGCAGAGGCATGTGCTTCGTGTGGGTGGACAGTAGGAAATGGTGCCATGTGGATCTGGTTTGTGTAGCTACACAGGGAAGCAGGAGAGTGAGAGAGTCACTCCCTCCTGCAACTGGAATTCCACTGATATGGTCAGAAGTTTAGTGACTTCTGCTTTAGTACTCTAGAGAGTGGCAGCCTTTGCCCCAGCAGCTCCTTGGTAGCCCTCAGCGACTTACTGCTCCTAGGCACGTCTTGGCTGCTCTTAGCTCTGCGCAGAGAATCAGGGAGGCAGTTGATGCACGCTGTTACTCGGATAAGTATTATTTGCAGTGGTTTTTATCAGTAGTTTGTAAATTACCCTTTATCTCCTTGAGAACGTACTCCCTTGTCAAGAACCTTCTGGTGCATGGCACCTCGTGCATTTTGCTGTTGAAAGTGATCACGTTTTGTATCACTTCTATATGTTTTCATAGAATCCTAATGTGTAAATTAAAACAAAAGCCCTTTAAGTATTATTTTCCATGCTTTATATAAATATTTGGTTTGCTTTGCCTAAGCCTTGTAGTTATAAGAAAGCCACCAAGAATTAAGAGTACTGTTCACTCTTCAGATTTAATTCTGTTTGCTGCACAGGTTGGATTGTCACCGGAAGCCCGAGATCAAATGAGGAAAATGCTGTGCCAGAAAGAATCTAATTATATTCGGCTAAGAAGAGCTAAAATGGACAAGTCGATGTTTGTAAAAATTAAAACTCTGGGAGTTGGTGCATTTGGAGAAGTTTGCCTAGCAAGAAAAGTGGATACTAATGCTTTATATGCAACAAAAACTCTGAGGAAAAAAGATGTCTTGCTTAGAAATCAAGTTGCTCATGTTAAAGCTGAGCGGGATATCCTTGCAGAAGCTGATAATGAATGGGTGGTTCGCCTGTACTATTCATTCCAAGATAAGGACAATTTGTACTTTGTAATGGACTACATTCCAGGAGGCGATATGATGAGTCTCCTAATTAGAATGGGTGTCTTTCCAGAAAATCTGGCACGGTTCTACACAGCAGAACTGACCTGCGCAGTTGAAAGTGTTCATAAAATGGGCTTCATCCACAGAGATATTAAACCTGATAATATCTTGATAGACCGCGATGGTCATATTAAATTGACTGACTTCGGGCTCTGTACAGGTTTTCGATGGACCCACGATTCAAAATACTACCAGAGTGGTAAGAGAAATATAAAAGGTTTCTTTGTTATTTTGTTGACGTGTTACTCGTTGCAGGGAATTAAATAATAAATGGGTAGAAAGATGACTGTGCTGTTTCCTTTCTGAATAATAATGCACCTAACAATATGTCTACACACCAGTCGAATTATGGAAAGCAGTGTTTAGTTGGGGTGAGTTTGTAGGTGTGAGCATTGATTCCTTAAGGGAGAAGGAATGAGCTGTGCTGCTGTAAGTTTGTCCCATTAGTGGCTTCTGAAATTAGGAGAGAGAAAATCACAGCAGTAGCAAGATAATCACATAGACAACAGCCCTAACTCTGTTTTGAGGATGGGACTGATGTTTTGAATGTGTGTGTTCTTGAAAACCTTGCCCCCGGGTTTGGTGTGTCTTGTGTACTTCCTTTTAGTGTAACCTATTGATTTCTGAGAAAGTTTTAAGTAGGTGTTTAAAGATCCTGCTTGATTACTTAAAACAACAGCTAAAAAACGGTTAGAGCAAAAAAAAATTTCACAGTTCTAAGCGTGGTAAAATACAGATTTTTGTAATAACCTATTTTTAATTTTCAAAAATAAACATACCTTCAAAAACAATTTTTAAATTACTTTTGACTTGTTTTTTTTTTTTTTTCAAAATATCATGTATCTTGGGCTAGACTGTTGCACAGTCTCTAGAGGGAAGTTGAAGAATTACAATCTGATTTTATTTTTTGATGCTTTAAATATTGGGGATTTTTTGTTTACATAGAAGCAAGAAAAATATACACCCTGTACCCCAATGTGGTTATGTTAAGGAAAAACTGAGAAAAGCTAAAACGCAATACTTTCTTACAGTTGTGTCAAAAATTAACTTAAAAACCCTGTGTCCTCAAAAGCTGGTATTTTGTATCATAAGCAAAAAGTCAACATCCTGATGTTGGTGATAGTTTTAGCTCTCAAATTGAGTGTTGAAACAGATTCTATTGTATAACAAGAAATGTTAAGAGAGAAAGAAAGTGTCATCCTAGATAAGAACTAATTAATCATCCTCAGTGTTGGCATCTTTCTCGCTCCACTATAGGTGATCACGCACGTCAAGACAGTATGGATTTCAGCAATGAATGGGGTGACCCAGCAAATTGCAGGTGCGGAGATCGGCTGAAGCCGCTTGAGCGTCGGGCTGCACGCCAGCATCAGCGCTGTCTGGCCCATTCCCTGGTTGGCACACCCAATTACATTGCGCCAGAAGTATTGTTACGAACAGGTAACGCATTTTTGCACTGTAATCTTGCTGCAAAGTAACTGGTACTCGGGTAGCTTGTTTCACCTTTCTTACGCTGCCGCTTTTCCCAAGTATGTAATATTTTGACAAAAAATAAGTAGTTGTTAGTATGGACATCTTAAATATTGAATAGAATTCTCTTGTGAACCTTTTTTATTCCTAGAAATACAAGATTAAAATTATACCGAGGCTTTGACTACCTTGTTTTGACTTAATTTCAGGTTATACACAGTTGTGTGACTGGTGGAGCGTTGGAGTAATTCTCTTTGAAATGTTAGTGGGGCAGCCTCCTTTCCTGGCACAAACACCACTGGAAACACAAATGAAGGTAATTTTAAAAGTCTGGTATTAACAGTCTTAAAAAGGAGGCTTGAAATTTACGTAGTCTTTCTAATTTGTAGTGGAATCAAAGGTGATTTTTGAGAGTGCTGCTCCATCCGAGCATGTTATAAACTAACAAGCTTTTAAACTTTACTGTGGTGGTGCACTTAATTTGTAAAGAGACTTCAAGGATCATGGTCAGATCTTTTATCTGGTCATGCCAACTAAGAATCACATTTCAGATCTCAGTTCCAGTTGTTATTTCCGCTTCCCTTTCTTCTCCTGTTCCAGCATCTGAGTGTTCTTTTCCTGCCCCTCGGCTTCATGCCCACTTACCTGCAGAGTATGTCCTTTGGTGATGTATCTGCAGGTGCTCAGCATGCAAAGGTTGAGGAGCAGCAGATGACCGTGGCTGCTCAGGGTTACTGACAGCTCAGAGCCATCAGTCGCTTCCTTCCTGAGCCCCAGCTGTTCAGAGAAGCCGCCAGGGCAACCTTCTGCAGGTGCCGTTTCTGCAAGACTGCGTTCGGCTCGCAAGATACTACTAGTTGGCTCAAATGTAATGCAGTATTGGTTTGGGAGTTTTAACTTTAAATCTGTTTGTCTTTCCAGTGTGCACCAAATAAATTAAAATTGGTTTGCCTCAACTTTTTTTTTTTAGGATTGTAAGCCACGTGCCTAATCTTAGGTTCCAGGTGCTGGATTTTGTGGTATCTTTTTCGTTTATAACAGGGGTATTCCAAGACAGACTCCAGTTTAAATTTAGAATGTGAATAAACTTTACCTGGATTTTACCAGATTTCCAGAGGAAATGTTCCTTGTGTTTTTGAAAGAGCAGCTTTACGTTTTCCCCTCTGTAGTGTGAAAACACTTACACGTGTTCAATGATTGCTTTGTGGCTGTTTGTTGTTTTGTTTTAATTTTCACTGTGTCTTTTCCTTTTTATGGAATTGTAAATCAAATAACACCTCTTTTTGCTTTAAAGGTTATCAACTGGCAAACTGCACTTCATATTCCACCTCAAGCTAAATTGACTCCAGAGGCCTCCGACCTTATTATTAAACTCTGCCGAGGGCCAGAAGATCGTTTAGGCAAAAACGGTGCAGATGAAATAAAAGCTCATCCATTTTTTAAAACAATTGATTTTTCAAGCGATCTACGGCGACAGTCTGCTTTCTACATTCCCAAAATTGCTCATCCTACGGACACATCAAACTTTGATCCAGTGGATCCAGATAAACTGTGGAGTGACGATGATAAAGAAGGGAACAGAAATGATACACTTAATGGGTGGTACAAAAATGGAAAACATCCTGAACATGCTTTTTATGAGTTCACGTTCCGCAGGTTTTTTGATGACAATGGCTACCCATACAACAATCCAAAGCCTATTGAATATGAGTATGGTAGTTCCCAAAACTCAGAACAGCAGTCAGATGATGATGATGATGATGATGATGAACAGGCAGGTAGAGGAGTTCAAAACCGTGACCTGGTTTATGTTTAGTAGAGGAATGAAGATTAAAAACTAACTAAACTTATTTTGCAGCTGCAATTTTTTAAAGGTCTCATAAGAGAATTGAGATAAGATTGCTAGGGTAAAGACATGCATGCTTTTTATTTTATTTTTTTTTTAAACACTAAAAATTTGTGTCTCCCCCCCCCCCCCCAGACATTTTGTTTCCCCAGAGTACAGGGAAATCCTTTTCAAATATTAATTTATTCTAGCATTGTTAATTGTTTAATTTAGAAGAAATTTGATGTTAGGTAGAAAAAAGAAGTATCACTTGAATTTTATTGATTCTCTGTACTGTAAGTACTCAAAATAGGAAATAGTGATTTTTTATTTTTTTTTTTTTCCTAAGATGATACCTGGTATCTATTTGTACATATACTGGATAATTTTAGAAAACAAATCTCTGCTTCAGAATTTTTAATGACAGTTTTTCCTTGCGTTGACCAAATATAAAACGTACTTTACACTAATAAAGCGCTCTGATACATTTCTGAAGAGGGGAAGAAAAAAAAAAAAAAGGCTGCTGTACCCTCACTTCTCACTATATTTAGCCTAATTTTCACAGCGTTGTAAAAACTGAGCCATCTATCTGGTGAAATGTTTGCAGCTGCTGTGGTAGTGGCATAGTTCTCAGCTTTGGAACAAGAAAGTGTCAATCTTGGCTATAGTATGATTGTAAAGTGATAAAGCATTAGAACTAGTATTTTATTAAATAGTAATTGAATTTGACATTAGTAACACTATGGCTTTGAGACTGGTACTCTCAAAGCAGAAGGACTGCTCCCTCAGAAACAACTTGTCTCTTGTCATCAGTTCTATAATTATGAGAAGAAAAGAAGCTTTAGGAAAAACATTTTCTTAAATCTAGCTTAATTTTCTGACTACAACCAAACTGTAAAGCATGTACAATTCTGCTTTAGGTGGAAGTTTTAGTTTGGAAAATAAATTTTAGAATAGTTTCTTTATTATGTGTTTGAGATAGTAATGGGGAAAGATTATAAATTATGGCTTTTGAGACTTGTTGTGGATGCTAGTATCACTTGGCTTTAATAGTTTTCCTCGTAGTTACACGGCCTGAGGAGAAATGTCGTGCACCAGTCGATCTGAGCCGTCAGTACAGGGTCAGTGGTCCGTCTTTCCCAGCCCAGTCCAGAACAGAGTTAGGAACTTACGTCTGTGTCTGCCGCCTTCTGCATTACTGTTCTCATAACTTCCTGCAGCAGTGAGCAGGCATCCCCTTGGGTCTCGTGGTGGGAGGGTGCTGAGCCCGTTGAGGTTGCTGGGAGCAGGGAGGGGGGCAGCCCTCTAAGCTTCCTTGAGACAAGACCAGGAGTTACAGGTGAGAGGCAGAAAGAATTATGGTGCGCTCTCTCTCCCCACCCCCCCCTTTCTCCTGAAGCTAACAGAGTGGTAAAGAAAATGCACTATTTTTAGTAAACTTCATGTTTTCTAGAATGTTTCTTCCTTGGAATTGAATTCCAATGAGTAATCTAATAATGTGCCTGTAAGCATTACTGCTTTCTTAAATTATTATTTGTGCCATTGCAGTGGCATTGTGACTATCTCAAGATCATCCAGATGATGACATGTAGATGATCTTTGAGGTCCTTTCCAACCCAAACCATTCTATGATTCTGTGATCGTGAAATGGGTGTTCATAGCGTGCAGCAAGCGCAGGTTACTAGTTTACTTTTCTCACCAAGCCGGTTTAAGAATTTCTAGTGTGCTTCCGGCCATTCATTCCCTCTCTGTGCTCCAGTTCAGCGTCTCTCTCTGTGCAGTGCAACTGTCTGCAGTACTGTGCTAAATACGGGGTCAGTGAAAAAACTGCTTGGTGTTTGGAGGTTTCTTTCTTGTAAGCGTTTTCGTTGGAGTGATCTGGTTTCCAGTGTGATCAGAAAAATTGTTTCTATCAGGATAACTGAGGAAGTAGTAAACTGCCGTAAAGAGGGTTGGCAGCGGGGAAGCTTCTTAAATGGACTTGGTCACAGGAGAAAACGTTTGTGGAAGTTCACCCATCTGCTGTGAAGTTGTTTGTCATGGTTAGAAGATGGTTATGAAACATTGTTTTCTTTTCTCAAGCAGGTAGTTACTTAATGTAATGAAAATGGGTTTGTAGCTTAATAAAACAGTACATCTTCTGTCTGCCTGTTCCACAGCTGTTGAAATAGAATAGCTTTTAAGATTGATTTCATTTAGCTTAAATATTATAAAATGGCTGCAGTGTATAACTACTCCATTTTATATATGATGTAAAAAAGATTGTTTTCCGTGTAAATAAACTTTAAAGATTATCCTCCTTCATAGTAAGTATCCCAGTAAAACTGGTCTACTTGTCTTGGAGTAAAGTATAATATATTACTGGTTAAAGGTAATTTAATCAAGCCTGCCTTACCATTTGTGAAGTGTGCAGAGAAAACAATGTCAATTCTTCATTAAATTGACTGTTAAAATTGCCTTTTTACCTGAGTGTATTTCTCCTCTGCCTGCATTGTATCATGGTATATTCCTGCGTAGTGGTCTGTAGCCAATGCGTTTAAAAAAAAAAAAAAAAATAGTAGGGGGAAAAAAAGAAGTCCTGTAAAGGCACCACAGTTCTATACAAGCAAAACCAATTGCTTTTCATAAAGGAAATGTGCAAGTACTGAAATATTAAATATTATTTTACCATTTTAAAACAAATACAGGAAATGCTCACGTCATTAGAATTTGGTAGATGCTTCTGGCATTTTCTGTTATCTTATGTTAGAAGTTGTAACATACCTTGTTTTATTTTTGCCACCTATGTGCTGCAGTATTATGTATTTCCTTGCAAACATGCAGTGTGTTACAGTCCAAGTTCTCTGTTACGCCTAAGTGTCACAACTCTCTGACTTGCTATGTCTTACCCGTGTTTTGAAACTTCACGTTTCATATGTCAATTCAGAGTCTGTTGAGATTCCTCATAGCCGCTGCTTAAAACATGGGTGTTTTGCTGGTGACCTGTGGTGGGGATTGGTTTGTACAGGCAGTTGAGAAGAAAGGCTCCTAACCAGCAGCTGTGGAATTCTGCAGTAAGTTTTAGTTCAGATTACTTTCACTTTGTAAAGCATGAAAACAAAATTCTCTTATGTGCCCTTGTATACATATTAATTGTATTTATAAATTTTCTATAATCCTATGACTGTACTGTAAATACTATTTGATATTCAGTGGCATTCTATGCTAGGGCAGGCCCTCTTGCTGTATCTTTTCTATCTTTGGCTTGTAATAGAATCTGTAGAATACATGGCTAGAAAGTCTCTTTGAGACTGATGTATCTTCTGCTGTTGCAAAGCTGTGAGTGGGAATGGTTTATTTAGACTCCTTTTAATATTATTCAGCTAATAGGCAGTGCAGTGGGTGGGTTCTCGGATGATGCTGCTGTCACCCAAGATACTATTAGGGTTTGGTTTCAGATGTCTTTGGTGTTTCAGATCAGACCTTTAATCTGTTTGCTTTAATTCAGCCAAAGCAAAAAGGTAATGAATTGGGTCAATGCCGTAGTAAAATGTTTGAATGCCTTAAGATGCTCTTGATAAAGGCACTATTCAAGTTTACTGATTCATATATATCTATATAGATATATATAGATATATTCCATGTGTGTATATGTGTATATATAATATCTTTTTTGTATTATAAATATCCTTCTGACTGTTAGTTCTTTTGGATCCTCCAATTAAATACATAGACCACCACACAATTCTGCTTACGCAAATTATTCATTTATTGTGTACCTAATTAGTAAACTTAACTATCTTGCATGATCTCACAGCCATAGTAAGCTACTCGCTGGTCTTCTGAGTACTCTGTACTTGTCTCTGTCACGACATGGGCGTCACCTTTTGCAAGATCTCTGCATACCTGTAGTCCAGCTACGTGTGTGCTGTGTGATCTCTGAACACTTACTGATACGTTTGGGTTTTATAGGGTTATGTGGTGGTGGCTTGGACCATAATTTCCCCTGACGTTTGTGTGAAAAGAACGTGCATCCTTTTATGCTGACTTTTCCAGTTGGTGCCCTGGAGCGTCAGTCCCCTTCGTGTAGGAGCGCTGTATTTCCTGTTTGTGCCTGATAGTCGAGGAGCGGAGGTTTCCTTGCCCCCACTGACTGGACTGTTAGCACAGCGTGTGTGTTTGACCTGGGGGACGTGAGGGGATGGTTGCATTAACGCTTATTTAAAAGTTACTTCAGAACAAGAGAAACAATTCCAGCACTTGTGAACAGCTTAACTGAATTATCAGCTGCTAGTAATGAGCGACATTCCTGAGTTTTAGAAACTGTTTCTTTTTTCTCAGAATCAGTTTCTGTAGTGTAATACCTGCTGGGGTAATAAAAATTATGATGATTCTTTCTAAGAAGTGAAAAGCAAATTCTTGTTTTGGCTAATCAAATACGAAATGTAAACATTAGTTGCCCAAATGCATTTATTTTTCTTTCCTTCTCCTTCACACCCCTCTCCCCTGAGTCCCCTTTATGCTGCAACAGTTCTACTGATTAACAAAAAATTTGCGTATGTTTAATAGCAGAAATGTTATTGTTCTTAGCTGTCATCTCATGTTTGTAACCTGTTCTCAAAAGTATACATTTTGATGTTCAAGAGTTTGATTTGTCGGTGCTCTTTCCCAAAACTGTTGCCTCTTTCATAAAAATAATTAAATCATAGTTATTTATTATGCATACATAATGTATAATGAAGCTATTCCTTTTCTTGAGAGATATGACAACGTATCACAGCTTTTGTGTTTAGTAGGAGGGAAAATTGTCTTTGCCAAAGTCCACTTCTTTAAGCGCACAGGTCAAACTGCTGACGCAAAAAACAGTGTCTTGTTGTAGAGACTATGTTATATCCTAATTCTTTTACCTTTTGGTGTGTGTGGGGGGTGGGTGTGGAAGTACAGCACCATTTTTCATTCATTAGCCACCTGCAAAGTGCAGAAGGGTAATCGCTCCAGCTGTCATCAACCAAGTGATGTGACAGAGCAACGCTTTGAGTTTTAGAAGCTCATGAA